CCTCTGGGCGGCCCTGAATTTCAATATGTTTTCAGGGGCGTGACAGCCATCTTTGGGGCACTTGTTAAAATATGGCTGACTGAAAAAAACCCTTACGCTGAATAAATAAGAAGCGAGACCTCGTGGTATTTATTCTGTGGCCATATACAGTGTTAAACAGCGAGTCGAACCCCCTCAAACATTTCTTACAAATCCTTCAAAACTTAGGCTAAAATCAAATTGACGTTTCTTTAATTTCATGAACATTTGATATATTACATATTTGTTTATTACTGAATTACTTTGGAATAATAAGCAAACTATATTTTGGACATATCGCTTGGTAAAAGCTTTCGAACACACATGCATTACAAGCAGAAAGATACAATATGCACTTTCGTAACAAAAAAACTAACGTTTGGATGAGAGATTATATAGAATTGAAAGTATATGAAGCCTGGTTTTGTCATGGCCATCATGATCAGGTCAAGATGAACGATGTACACAAGACAGTTCCCCATACATCCTTGCAATCAGTAAAAACCAATTTCCATACACAAAAGACAAGATAGACCCAGACTATTTTACCCCGGTGGTCTTGACGAGGTCATGACAACCACGTTAAATGTTAACAAGACTTCAACGGTTAAGGCTGGTTTAAACTATCAAAGTTTCTGTGATCACAGTAGGAATTTTGCATAGCTAAATTCAAAGGTTTGAAGGATTTGTAAGAGATTTTGAGGGAACCGATTCATTGTTAAACACTGGATCAGTTGCCTCAAATATTTCTTACAAATCCTTCAAAACTTAGAATTTGCCTGTGCAAAATTCCTACTGTGATCACAGAAACTTTGAGACACAGCCTTCACAGATTTGGTAATACAAGTTCATTCCGATGAACACTACGATCTTTACATCATTGCTCAGCAACATTTCAGGTCAGTGGCGATGCCAGCCATGGCTGGTGGTCATGCTACAGCAATAAATATGCACCAGACTGGAAAGTTTGGAAAACAACGCAACCGAGATTTAATAGTAAATATATAGAAAGCATCAAAATTGCGCGCCGATATCTCGGTCGCGCGATACAAACTTTCCACACTGGATTTATTTATATGCACCCAGAAAACCTGAATTTCTAAATGGGACCATGCATATCTAAGAGGTTTGAATAAAAATTTAAAACTTCCAGTGCATGACCAGTTATATGGCTTGCATTTCCACAGTTTCTACACCATAATTGTTTCTAATCTTTCTATTAGTATTGGTAAAATTGTTTAATTAAATTAATGTTTGTTTCCATAAATCCATACAGTTCCATACTTAGTCGCTTCATAAAGTGTACATTTTGATCATTCAATCCAATGTAGCATGTGTGTACACACGTCAAAATCTCACAACTTGTCAACAAGATGTGTTCACAACAGGCTTGTAGCAAGCTTGTCAACAAGTTGTAACAATGCCGTTATTTTATCAAGTTGCTACAGGTTGTCACTCACAACTTGTTGACAAATTGTTGAATTGCAGGATGACAACAAGTTGATGGAACAACTTGTAACAAGTCGTTGTTGTTGAGCTCAACAACCTTGTAGCAAGTTGTCGACAAGCCGTTGACAACATGTCAACAAGCTGGGAACAAGCAGTGCGAACACATCCTGTTGACAAGTTGTTGGAACAGCATTGCTACAAGTCTGCTGCAGGTTTGTTACAACTTGTGCGTTTTTATGTGTGTACCAGAAGTTATTCCCAAAGTCTTGTTTTGCTTTTTCACATGGCCAAGCAGGTATAGACAATCGTATTTCATTTTAATTTCAACTAATTAAAGTTCTTGCTAAAATTGATCACAGTTTACGAAGTTAGTTTGAAGCAGTCCTTTGGGACAACCAGTCCAAACTTCGTATAGTGCAAATTATTCCGTTTTCCGATTTTATTTTCACGAAAAAGAATGCTTCGAGAACACCAGTTTTGCCAGAAAACCCGTTATCTCAACTCATCGCATCTCCGTATTTACATTCTGACCAACGTGCGGCCATTTGCAGAAAAAAATTAGTTCTTCGAAACCAAATAAGTTTACAATTTCATTTCACGAAACACGTCACAATAATTCCGTTCATTTCCACAGATTGGTGCTCAAGGTATGTCCAGACTGTACACCCCCCTGTGCTTGATACATGTTAAACCTTGGTGCTGCAGGACCGCTGCTGACATACTGAGGTATTGGCTGTTGTTGAGGAAAACTCCCGGGGGGTCGTGGCATCCAACTACCGTTTACCATGGGGGTGTTACCACCATAGGGCGCCGGGCCGTTGTTGTACTGCATCATACCTGGCATGGGTTGATTATAGTTGTAGCCTGCAGCTGCCTGAATGTTAGGCATAGCCCGATTGTTAGGCATTGCCTGAGTAGATGGTCGCTGCTGTTGCTGACCAAAGCCAAGCATTGCCATCTGCTGTTGTACTTGATTAACCTGAAATTAGAGCAGACACATTTTAAAACCTCGTTAAATACTGATACTCCAACAATAGTTTAACTCTCAAAACCTAAAACACCGGGTAATTTTGCAGGCACATTCTGAAGTTCTAAATTTTGCTCGCAGGCGCTAATATTAATCAGTCCTGGGGTTATGCTTCTGTAAAAACAAAACTTTATCATACCTGATACATTTGCTGTTGTTGTTGCTGCTGTGGTGCACCAAACATTTGTTGCTGTGTGTTATACTGAGGTGCCGCCCCTTGTGGTCTGTTCATAGCTATTGCATTCATTTGTTGCTGCTGTTGTTGTTGTTGTTGTTGCAGATACACTCCACCTGGTATGCCAAACATCTGAGGGTTTGCTTGCTTTTGTGATGGCTGATACAGCGCCATTATAGAATCTGCAACACGTAAATAACCTTTCTAACGACTATATAATTTGATTCAACTTACTGTTACTACCAAATGTTCAATAATACTGTTTATTGTATAGTCTTATAGACCCCTTGCACTGACGTCACAAATTCCTTCGAGTGTCCTCCAGATGCTCCCTAACAATATGTGTTCTTGTACAACAACCACATACAGCGCAAAAATTAACCATTTTAATACAAAATTATTATAAAGTTTTACAAAATTTGCTTTGTTTACAAAAGTTACATTATGCATAGATTGCTAATTTGTCCTCCAGATGCATCGTCACCGGCGCTGTGACGTCCTGTGCAATGGGTCTATTAGGTACTGTGATACACTACCCAATAAAACTGTACTGTTTATTGTACAGTACTTACTCGTACTGTGATATTGGGGACTGTCCCATGATAAAGACTATATCTATCTATATACAATTTGATTCAAGTCACGATCTTTCTCAAAACGGCCAGTTTATAATAGTTCATACCTGTAAACCACATGTAAATCATAAGTATTCTCTAGTTATAATCACTCTGCGTATTTTGTATTTCGGCTGATGAGAAAGATCGTGACTCAATCTTTACGACCATATGGAAACCATGATGCAGGATCGGTTGTCCAAATATGAAAACAAATTTCTCCATTGGGGAAAAAGTGCAATAACCAGTAAAGGCCACGTTACACGGTGCAATTTTTCTTGCAACTTGCAATGCAATTCTACTCTTGAGAGATGTTAATTAGTGAAATCAGTGAAGAATTTTCGACATGTTAAGAAAACATCAGCGGAGTATAATGAATACTCGTATTTGGCAATTTTACATCTCTCAAGAGCAGAATTGCATTACAAGTTGCAAGAAAAATTGCACCGTGTAACATGGCCTTACTGTCGTTCCAATTGAAGTGTTGCTCAAATATTGATTCAATACATTACCTCGGGCTGACCAATTCATTTCATCAAGTTCCTCGAGATATTCATACACTTCCTGTGAAAGAGCTAATTCCAAGTATTTGATCATTTCTGGTCACTTCCTTTCTATTTATGATTGGTTAGTTGCACAAACAACAAAGGTGATTGGTGCATTCAAGCTATTCAACAGGAAGTTTACAATTATACTAGGAAGTGTACGAATATCTCGAGGAACTTGATGAAATGAATTGGTCAGCCCGAGGTAATGTATTGAATCAATATTTGAGCAACACTTCAATTGGAACGACAGTAAGTCTATTAACGCGCTACGGCAAGGTGAACATTCTCACTCACCTTTTTTCGACTGTCCTCCTCCACCGCTTGGATCATCTTTAAATAAATTCTCTTCAAGATTTGTTTGGTTTGATGAAGTCATCACACCATTTGATGTTGCTACTGTATTGCCCACCGGTGTGGACATGCTCTAAAATGGGATTTCAATTCAATGTTTTATATACGGTGCTATACAATGCGGACAACGTGAAATGTATTGAAAATTGATGCGAACAACGGAACTGCCCCACCAGTTATACAAAACTGGATTCGCTTGTCACGAGATCGTGAATTTAACGGTTTCAGTGACACTTAAAATTGCGATGTGATAAAATAAAACGAAAAATGTTAAGGGGAAAAATTTTTTGTGGGCAGATATTACTACTGAACCTCATTTGTTGTCACCGTGACAGGCGAAGCATGTATGGTGTAACAGTCACCAACAAAATGGTACTTACCTGAGCTAAATCAAATGCAAACCCCTGTGACGGTGGTTGTTGAACATTGTTAGACGGTGCTTGGAATGATGAGCCACCAAAATTAAGAAGCTACAAAAATTGGCATACACATCATTTTAATTTACACAATGATTACTAGAGATTACCATTGGACTATTCCATTTAATATCCGTACCCCCCCCCTCCCCCCCGTTGAGGATCCCTGGAATTCTTCAGGGGTAAAGGGTTTTGAGCTTGGAATTCTTCAAGGGTAATGGGTTTTGAGCTTGGAATTCTTCTCTTCAAGGATAAAGGGTTTTGAGCTTGGAATTCTTCAAGGGTAATGGGTTTTGAGCTTGGAATTCTTCTCTTCAAGGATAAAGGGTTTTGAGCTTGGAATTCTTCAAGGGAATAGCCCATTGTATTTGACAGTTTCAAAAAATCTGTAACAAACTACAAATTTCGTTCCCAGAAGATCCGTATTAAATTTTAATTCTAATGTCAACTATCACATTCATACCCGTATAATCATAATATAACCCTAAGTTAATTTGATGTACAGGTGAATGCATGTGATGTTGTATGGAAATGTGGGCACCAAAGAATGAGGAAGAAAGAGGCTACTGGAAAGAGTGAGATGAGAATGATGAACAGAAGGAAATCTTTTTGAAAACAACTTTGCAGAAAAGCTGGAGTAGAAATCAGTGTCCGGAAAGTAGAAGAAGCGAGAATGAGATGGTTTGTACATTTGATTAGAATGGATGGATACAACTACAAGGAATATCATTGTGATTTGTGAAACAGCATCTTACAGACAAGGAGGTCAGAGGATGTGGCACAGGAAGCAGATGTGGTCAGCACTCTCCTCCCCCCATTTATCACTTGATTCAGCCTGCTACTGTAGATTGATGACTTGATGGTGGGGTATGTATTTAGGTTGGGTAACATGAAAAGTCACATAAGTGGAGTTTGGTTGGATCTCTACTGTGCTCTGCAAGTTTTTTTCTCTGCAATATAAATGAGGTGTATTGCTTCAATGATTTGGACAACCACAACCTGCTTACTGTAATCAACAGGTAACTAACTAATCAGCTGTGCAACTGGTCACCAATCTAACCATCTTCAAAAACTCAGCCTTGGTAATCTTAAATTTTGACTAGAAGGTTTACAAGTTACATCTCTAAACTTACGTCAGCTGTATTATCTTGCTTGGCGGGTGTTGCTGATATGCTTAGCAAGGTGCTGTTTTGTTGTTGTTGTTGTTGTGGTGGCTGTGATGGCGGTGCTGGTTCAGACAGTGACAGTAGGTCTACTGTAGCTGATGGTGCCTTACTACTTGGTACATTGCTGGTCTTTACCACATTCGGAACTGACTTGGAAGGTTCTGGTCTAGATATCTACATCAATTGGAGATAAAACTGGTTAATTTAATTTGTACACAATGCATATGATCTCACCAAGTTTATGAGGTATTTAGGACATCAAGAAGGCTTAGAATTTCACTTTAACTTTATTACCTTTTTATTTTCATTAACAGAAGACTTTTTCTTTTCTTGGCTAACCTATATTCATAAAAGATTCAAACTCATAGATAAGTGTTCATTGTGGGGCAAAGTATGCATGCCAGGGTCTCAGACGTCCATATTTGGGATCATTGGCAGATTGGCTTACAACTTAACCCATTAAGACACATTGCACCCTAATGTGCCTACTTTCTTATTTTACTCTGTCTATTGCCAGACAGTTTTACTCAAGGGGAGAGCGCTGCCACTCAATGGGTCAACATTTACGCAGCAGTGAACCGCATGCATGGCGAAAGGGCATATTCGATCCCTGGCAATTTTGCATATATTACTGTAATTGTGTCATCTAGCCAGACAATGAACAGCCAAAATGCTCCAATTTCGACTATTTCGTGGGTGATTTAAAAAACCTTCAACCCTATAATTCTTAGGGATGTGCCGGATCCGGATACCGGTAAAATTTTGACATCCGGCACTATCTGGTATCCGATAGAAATTTGCCGGATATTCACCGGATAGTACTGTAAGATATTTTGTTACAATCATGAAACGGTAAAGTTTACTTGGCGTTTACAAATTGTGAAACACGAACAATTACTGAGCATGCGCTGCATTACGACAAAATTACAACATTTTTTTTTCGTGATGGTGATGTGAACTGCTCGTTTGCCAACAGCAGTGAATTTTATATACTGAATACCAGTAAACAATGTAAGGTGAATCATAAGATATGGCCTTGGTAAAGACAAATAGGTCAAAGATACAAAAACTCTTGAAGTATTAAACACATTGCCACATAGGACTAGTTCATTAAGCTATAAAAATGTTGTGTTTCTAATAAATTATTGTATGGGAGTATCTGGTTATTATCCGGTATCCGGTCATCATGTTCTCCTGACCGGTATCCGGTAGACTACCATCCGGTATCCGGCAAAAACAGTATCCAGCAAAAACAGTATCCGGCACATCCCCAATAATTCTCATGATATTTTTTACAGTTTATATACCTTTTCAGGTGAATTAATAGTTGCTCGTACAGGAGGTGGTCCGCCTTTATTTATATACAACTTCTTCTCATATTTATTTCTTATGAACTGTTCAAGGCTTGAGTCTCCTTGAGGGCGTCGGAAACCATCTGGTAAGTGGAACTCATAATAATCTGCAGCTCTCCTATTGCCCCACTCTTGGACATTCTAAATAAATGAAAGTTAGTGAAATCACTCTAGCTCACTTTTCAGATCTGGCAAGTGTCTCACATTTGGTGTGAAAGTAACACATTTAAATGTTGGTTCAACAGACCCGCATGCATGAGGAAATTTCATTAACCCTTTAAGTGACAATGCGCCCTATGGGTTAAAATTCACACATTTTAATTCTTTAGAAACACAATCACATGGATCTTCACAGCATCTCAGCGCGTACTTCAGCCTAGGTAATTTAGTCAACGAGTATGTTGGAAATTTGGACACCTTCAAAACTCTGTCTGAGATTTGTGGGAAAACAAAATTTGTGTTTATTTTGCAATATTAGGTCGTTCGAGACAAGATCCACAGTTCTGCTGCAGAGGAAACTTCTGGTGAGGGAGAATCTACTTCTAATAGTACTAGGATGTCTGAAAGAGGGGGGGGGGGGGGGC